AAACTGCTAATTATATCAGGTACTTTTCAGTGAATATTTCTTTAGAGTAGCGAAATACATCGGACTGCGTGAGTTGCTGAATGTGACACTGTTTTGCTGAACACAAACGTGCATTAAAGTTCCTTTAGAAGCAGTTGGGACTTTGAAGGCACTCCTCAATCGAAAGGGATAAGTTGTGTCTCAAATACCAGTGGCAATGGTAAGCAACACTGAAGCGGAGGAAAAAAAAACGAGGAAAAACCGAGAATGCCCCATATAGAACCTCGTGTTGAACCGCGCTTGTACTTGTATAAGGCGAGGTCGGGGGTGATCGGATGAGCTCCACTCGTTGTAAACTCGTTCCCCTTATCCACCTCTTTTCCACTGTTTAGATTGGAAAGCACCGGTAGTGGAGAAGCAGCGAAGTCCTTCAGAAATGAACGTAAGTGTGGTGTAGGGTACCAGGTTAACTTTTGTGGGGTGGCACGTTTTTGTGTGGGTGGCACGTTTCACGATTTTTGAGCTGCAAAAGATACATCCTCGATGACTGCGAACAGCACTACCTTCTCCATAACTGTGTAACCATAACACGGCACATCATGCGTTGGGGATCTTGGTCATCTTGTTCAGAATCCACCAGTTGCTCCGAGCTTGAAATATTTTCCCGTGCGCGCGAGTTTGAATACGCGGGCCTGCGTCCTTTAATCGCGTTGAAGTATATTTGTCGGCACCGTTTCAGTGAGACACATTTTTAGAGCCATAACGTTCTTGAATGTAGACTGCTGGGGAACAGGTAAACGCAAAAACTTACTCTGAAGCACCTGAATTTTCCGTCCAAGAGAGGTAAAACGCTTTCTGTCACCAAGTACCGTACGTTCTTGCAGAGCTTCTTCACTCCTTAACATTTTCAGAACCGCGTACAAAAAAAACTGCACTTTTGTCGTCCTTGTCTGTACCGTCTGTACAACACGAAACAAGCGATTTAGAGCGCTCTAGAACCTGGAAGTCCCTCTTTGTAGAGCGCTCTAGAACCTGAAAGTCCTTCTTTGTACGACACTAATGAGATGTCGCTATAACAGGTCAGTGACGAGGAAACCTGTATTGTACCATTGTACCAATGACGCCTATAGTCAACGTCACTGACTTGTTATTATGGCATGTGCAATACGTCACCTGTCGCTTAGCAACTAGCTAGCTACTTGATGGCGTACTTTTGCTTCACGGCGTCTTTCCATAAGCTACAAATCCATCTACTGATAGAGAACTATGCGTAGTTGTTTTTCATTGAACTCATTGTTCTCTATTATTTTTTGTTGATGCGCACGACTTAATTTTCCGTCATAAGTCCATTGTAGCAGCCGATTATTTTCTTGTGATGGGATTTAGAAGTATGTTTTCCCCAGATTTGTGTGGTCATACTCCAAACAAGCTGTCGATGCACCCTACGAACCTGATTTTTGAAAACTGAATCTGATACACGAACGTCTACATGAGGTTCCAGGCCAGTAATCTTGAAATAGGCATTAAAGGTCTCGTTGTACACAACTGAGATCGACGTCGGGAGAAATTTATCATATTTGATTGGTTCTCCAACTTCTGAGCTACACCTTCTTTGGGTATGTGACAGGACAATCGCAATACGCCAAACATTGGTGGGCCTGGCGAGTGACACCGCGCTCGACGAACGAGTCGTCCTCACTGGCTCTTTGCACTTTAAGCTCAAGTGAACGGAAAATTAATATCTACATCATGGAATCTTGTATTTTCTGGAGTTCACGTGAGTTTCGCTGCTCCAGTGGACGTACAATACACATCGAGAACTTGCCGCGCATCACCGCGCGACATGCTAAACGCCGCGACGCGACAAATTACACTTGTCTGTCCGTCCTCCCTTCTTCTTTTAGATTAGGCAGTTTCATTTCTATTACGCCGGCTCTAATTTTGCGCAAGTCGCCTTTTAATATACCCCTCCCCCCTACTTTTAACACCACTATTTCTGCCGTGCACATGACTAATTTTATTGATAAGACCAGCTATATTAAAAGAAAAGTGCTTTTGGAGTTCGGATTCTAGGGTGTGACAAGACAATCGTAATTTTGGCCGTGCGTTCTGGTATGTCGCCTGTAACGTCGTGCTCCCTAGTGACAGTGTTACTCGGTCGTAGATGGCGATAATCGATAATGGATGTAATACCAAAAATGGCCATGAAAATTTGTGATGTCGTTATCTAAATGAAATCCAATGCGACAGGCTCCTGCAAATTAAGAAAAGAGGCGCCTACCGCCGAGGGGGCAAATTGCGATTGTCTTGGCCGTTTCCCTTATGTTTGCGGTAAAGCTTAATCGTGTTTGCTGGTGTTTTCTCATTCCCATTATCCTCGATCAGGTTTTAAAGTTGCACAGCACAGTAATGTTAGTTCAGTTTTTTTCACTTCTGCAGGGCGATTACAATGCAAATAATGAAATATTGGTCATTTTTAATGTTTTTTCGTAATCAATACTGAATTCAGCGCTCACACCAAGGATTGCCCTCAATGTCATTCATGTATAGAAAAAAATGGCGGATGCAATCACATGCAATGTGCCAAATGTAAACATCATTTTTGTTGGATGTGCTTTGGTGGTATGTTCTCTCGCTGTATTAGCCGTTTCTGGTAACTTGTGATTCCTATTGTAGGTCCTAATGATCAATTTATTCAGACTGGAAAACCCATGGCAGCGAGTACTACGAGTGCAGCAGGTACAAGGTTAGTTACGAGAGCTTTCTGAAATATCGTAGATAAGTGTACTCGGCGTTGTTATCGCCATTTATAGAAGCACTAAATAAGACTTTATGATTTCAAAAGATTTTTTGTTCGCAAAAGTCTTGACTCCAAAGAGAATTCTCCAGAAGAAGTGGTCATAAAAATTAATGGTAATGTTGGATCATCGATGAACTGAAAGTAGAAGTGAAAAAAGGTTGAATAAAACAGTGAGAGATGGCTGTGTTCGGAGAACAGCTCAACAGAGAACTTTAAAAACGGTCTGACTCCCGTTAATCTTGAATATTCCCGATGACGCACTACTGTTTACAATAACGCTCCAGCTGTATAGATGTGTATTGATCGATGTCGGCCGGGGAGGGTATAGAAGGTGTGAAGGTACCACAGTAAGTGGCTAATCGATTTAAAGTAGCAGCGTCAATGTTTTGTGGCCGCACTGCAGACCGCTCTGTTTTGGGGACGCTACTCTCACCGTCTGGTACCCTCCCATTCCCCCATACTCTCCCAAAATGCCAGCGACCGGCGCCGATCGATACCCCTCTATGCCTGCGTTTCCGTCTATAGTACTAGAGCGCGATGCAGCGTTGGTGTGTCGGACGCACTTTAGCTAAAGAAGGAAATAGATAAAAATCGAGTTTGTCATTTGGCTACGAATGAGGAATGAGCGCAAAAGAAAGTGGAAGTATCGAGTGGCAAACTGGCAGAATAGGAGAATCGGAGTCGACCAATTCCTATCTGATCCTCTGGCGTGTCTTCTTCTATCCTCGTGGTCTCCGACTTTCCATTCTGCACTGTCGCAAAGTGTGAACATCGCCTTAGTCGCGCTTGACGATGGCGACACCACGCAAGCTTAAATTGCGGATTTACTAGACCTAGGGTAAAAGCAACATGTTCCCTTGATATATTGACTAGGATTATCAGTCGGAGAACTGCGACACAGAGAGCTCGCGAGAGCGAGGTATCAAGCTTTGTCCTCTGTAGATGACGGGGCATGTCAGGAGAGGTAGGGCACGGCGCCGAAAACCCATCAGGTGTTCGAACGAGCCAGCGACAAGACCGTATAATATAATTCCTGTCAGCCATTTTCCACCAAATTTAGTCGCTCATCCCCTTTAACAGCTGGTGAGAACGAGC